ACGAGTGGCTAGTGATTTTTTTGGTGCCCAGTTTGAGATACCAAAAGGGGCTGTGGTTTTCAGAGGGTGGGACCTTGGCATTGTCTAGAAATCAGGGCCCTTTAAGGTGTCCCAAGTCAGGCTCCCGGAGTCACTAGTCACTTCTGAATTTCTTATGCCCGAAGCATCCCATGACTCATTGCACAGACCCCACAAAATGAAGCATTGGCAAGGCGTGTAGTCTGCTGGCTCGTGGGAGCCAGGACTCCTGGGTCTTTTCCTGGCTCTGCAGAAATCTTTTAGAAGGGCATACTGCTTTGGGTTGGTCCACTTGAGCCCCTTAGGGGTCTGAGAGTCACAGGTGCTAAGCACCCACAGTGCCAAGCAGATACATCCAAAGCTGTGCTGCCGAGGGCACCCGAGCTCTCATCTTGCAGAGAGCCTGGCATTCTGGCTGACATGTGTCAGGCGGGCCAGTCCGCTGCGGTCTCACCCCCGCTTTCTCCTTCCGTTCCCCGCAGGTTCCATCGGGGGGACTACACGGTGGAAGTGAGCATCAACGACTACCTGGATATCTACTGCCCTCACTATGAGGACCCCTTCCCGGCGGACAAGATGGAGCGGTATATCCTCTACATGGTCAATTACGAGGGTCACGCTTCCTGCGACCACCGGCAGAAAGGCTTCAAGCGCTGGGAGTGCAACAGGCCCGACTCCCCCAACGGGCCCCTGAAGTTCTCAGAGAAGTTCCAGCTCTTCACACCCTTCTCTCTCGGCTTTGAGTTCAGACCAGGGCACGAGTATTACTACATCTGTGAGTATCCCGCGCTGCAGACTGGCTGTGCCCTACCCCCTCGCGGGGAACGGCCCCTGGCCATGGCGCACATTGCTGACCGCGGCCCTTCCTGTTCCTAATCGGGTGAGGGTGACTTGAAAACTCTAGGTGGAAGGCCTAGTGCAGAACGTGCAAATTTGCCCTGTGAGCAGTTAACACAGCTCAGGGCGAGCGTCTCGCTTAGCAGCGCGTGAAGGCCATGGTGGAAGCACATTGAAATGAGCTGGAGGGTGGGTACGATGCAACGCTGCCCTCTACTGGATACAGTCAGAACTGTTCTGCTGTGTGTCCCATGGAGCAGCTCTGGTGGCAGGGGACTGTAGTTTTGGAATAGGACAATTCGAGCTCTATCGCTGCTGTCCCTGTGAAGTTTCAGGTGGCTTCTGCGTGCCGGGGAGTCACAGCCATGATGGTGCAAGCTGGCAGTGGTTTGCTACGATGTTAAGTTTCCTTGCTGACTCCGGGCTTTATGAAATCGCTTGTAAAGCTGCAAATCCACAACATAAACCATGCAAAGATTCATGTAGGGCTGGGACAGTTTGCTCTAGGTAGACGTGTCCACTGAAAAACATATCGATGCCAACAGAAAAAAACATCGCTAAGGCAGAGGTCGGGCTCCAGGCTCAAGTCTGTACTTAAGTGAATAATACTGTTCAAGAACCTTAGAGTTCAAATAATCAGTAAGTAACCCCATCACATGAGGAACCCAGGTGCTCTTGTCAAACCGGGAGCTCATACCGCTTTAACTCCGCCCCCGTGAGAGGCCAGCTGACCGCCTGCCCTCCTTCGCAGACGGAGTGTTGAAAGCTTGGCCCATGCCCGTGTCTCCAACGCTCAGCTTGGTCACCGCACTCACCTGTGCCCTGATTTCGCTGTCCAGACACATGGAGTTTTTCTATGGAGACAGGCTGGCTCTGGGTCTAATGACACTTAGAGAACTGGCTGCCATATGCAATCCCAGGCCCGGATCCCTTGAGAGCACCTCCTCTGAGGTACTCAGTTCTCTCAGCATCTCCCAGGATAAGGCCCTCCGGCTCCATCCTGCCAGGTGCTGAACACTGGCGCTGTCCCAGCAAAGCACGTACAGACACGTTGAACTTCAAGCACATGAGAAATCCTATTGACTTGGGGGCGACGGACCCAGCCCTTAAAGTGAAGCCCGTGCTTGATCAGGGAACTGTCCGTTGTGGGTGGATAAGGAGTTTTGGATCTTCCCAAGCCATAGCTCTGGAGGCAGAGCGCAAGGATGGGGGTAGCATTGGGGGAAGCTAGCAGCATGGTGGTTAAATCCTGTCATTAGGGCCTCTTCCCTCCTGCAAGGCTAAAATTCCCTTCAGAAAAAGAAAACACCACCAGAAAATACACAGTCTGAGCGGTACACAGGAGCCAGGTTCTGCTGGACGCGCACTGTCTGCTCTGTGCCGCTCCGGTGATGCAAAGCAGCCGTGAAGCCATCTTAAGCGGCCTCTTCTAAACCCTGCTTTCTGGCTGCGTTGCAATACCAGAGGTGTGCAAAGGAGCCGGAGTGTGCCGGGCGAATCTGGCTCCAAATGTCTCCGCTGAAATCTGGAATAACTCCTAGTGCTTTTCACTGTCAGAGCACTTGGATAGCCCTTTGCGGGGAGACAGGCAGAGCTACTCAAGATCACAGCCAGTATCAGAGGTCAAGGATCAATGGCTCCTCCGGTCCAATATTCATACCCCCACTGGACTAGAAATCTGGGTCACGTTAAAACCTAGGGGGCTGGTCCAATGGGAGCCTTCATTAACTTCAACGGTCTGGGCTCAGGTGAAGGTCCTGGGTCAGGTCTGAATGGACCTGTCCATAGCATTCTAGGAGGAATTCTGAATGATTCCCTGGTCTGCTGGCTGTACGGTAACCCCAGAGCTAAAATCTTTCTGGGGCTCTTCCTTTCCCTTCAGGATGGGGCCTCTCTTATTTCCATGCGCCAGACTCTGCGGTGTCGGTGTGCTAAGATCAGGTCAGTTGCCCCTGGGACCAGTGTAACCTCTGCCTGCTTGGGTCTGCAGAGGTCCTGAAACAAGAACCCCAAGAGGTGTGAACTGCCCCAGTCTTCTTAACTCTGGGCACAGCTGTGGGTGAGCGTGCCGGCAGTCCCCCTGTTGCCTTCATTCTGCCTCTCCCGGGACACAGCAGCTTCCCATGCAGCGAATAATACCCAGCTCCAGCAGTAAACCTGAACGTGCTTTCCAAAGGTGGGCAGTATCATTAGCCTCATATGACAGATGGGGAAACTGAGGTACGGAGGAAGAAAGCAATTTACCCAGGGTCACCCAGCAGGCCAGTAGCAGAGCCAAGCCTAAAACCTAGGTTACCTGAGTTACAGTCCAGCACTCCAGCCACAAGGCTATACTGCTGGTCAGAACAAAGCTCACCTTTTTTGTTGGGTGATGGAGGGTTTATTACGGTTTAAAGCAGCAGCGTCATTTATTCTCCATTGATCATGCCGGAATCTGAGACACGAAAGGCCGCATTCACTGAGCCTTCGTTTAAGACCCGGGCCAGCTGAGTGCTCAGAAAAATAGTAAACCAAACCCAAACACACAGAGGGTGAGCCGGTGTTTCCTCCCCCGAGAAGCCAGGGATGAGAGCATTAGAGTTCATTCTGCTCCCGCCCCATGGACCATTCGCCTTGTAAAATGCAGAGCTGAAGCTGCCTGGGGGGTCTCCCCTGCCGTGGGCTCCCAGCAAGCAAAAATAATCAAGTGACTGTAATTACCCGCCCGACCACCCATTGGGGAGGCTGGTTTACGTCTCTGTTTTAACAGAGCCCCATTCATCTTGATTAGAAGCAGGGCTTTTATCCTGTGTTTCTTTTAACGGGGGCTTGAGGGTCGCGGAGAGGGACACCTAGCCAAACTAAAGGCACTGTCCTTGGGGCTAGGACGGAGGAGAAGGTTCCAGCCAGGCCTTGCTCGGAGGGGAAGGCGGAGGGCCTGGGCAAGGGGGGAAGGCCGCAGTTCAATTGGCAGAACTGATCCCTGCTGGAACTCCATTGAGTCCGGCCTGGAAAATTCCATCTGCACCAGTGGGGGCCTAAAATTGGGAGCCTGAGTCAAAAGCGTCCGTTGAGTCTAGTTCCGAACTGGCCCCCCCATCTCATATTCCCCAGTGCTGTCACGGCTGGTGGGGTCTCCAAGGACCAGGAGATGGAGGTACGGCCTCACAGGGACGTATTTGGCCTCTGAGAAGACAGGGGAGGCTGATCTTCCCCCGTGGCCAAAGCCGCAGAGTTTTGACGGATACAGAGAGGCCGAGGCCTTGGTTTCCAGGCGAGGGTGAAGGGTCAAAGGGTTATGTGGCTCTCCGATGTCTGTCGTCAAGGCGGTGGTATTAAGGGCTGTCTCTCGCCTTCCTCCTGTCCCTTCCTTTCAGGGGTGCCGAGAGCCAGTAAGCCTGTATATAACGGAAACCACTTCAAGCCGGGGGGGCTGTAGCACCCCCAGTTCCAGCACCTATGCTTCCCTTGGATTAGACGCACGTGGCTGATAGCAGGTTTCAGCTCACCGGTGCCTCTGGGCCGGGGTGTCTACTGTCATTTCCCCCGTTGTAAAAAAAGAACCAGCACGCAGTGCAAACTCTGCCCCTCCCCCCACAAGCCACCTGGACTGCCCCCCTCCCCCGGTACTTGTGCATCCTCACCTGTTCGCATGCACGGCTCGGGGAGCCAGTTCCACCACTCTGGATATCTCTGCTGCAGCTGGGAGGGAGCCTCCCGACAGCCTTGCGCTAGTGGAATTGGAGCTAGCATGCTAAAACAGCAGGGTGGACACCACAGCTTGGACGGCAGCTCGGGGCCCCCTGGGTCCGAGCTCAGGTGGCCAGTCCGAGGCTCTGCCGGCTGTTTTTAGTGCACGAGTCTTTCTGCCCAGCTGCAGTGTAGACGTACCTTCAGAAGCTCCAGCAGGCCCCCAGCGCAGTATCCTACCAGCCTTGCCGTAGCGGATTGACCTGCACTGACCGATTCATCCCCTTCCGAGTACATTTCACAATGGACAGCAGCTACTTACAGGGACTTTCATGGTCTGTGAAAACCTTTTCAATGAAACGCTTGTATCACTCAATTGTTAATTAGAAAATTTCCATTTATTTTATTTCATAATTTGGGAGGTTCCTCCCCTTTTTCTCCCTCCCCCCCCCTTTTTCCCCTGGGGCTCAGAAAATGAAAACTGAAAATTTGTCATTTTCACACACAAAAAATATCAAAAACCTTAACTGAACCATTTCCAATGACATTAGGGTGTTTGGGGTGGGAGCTACCTACCATTTCCCAACCAGCCCTATATAAGAGCACAGCTGATTTAGGGCCCGCTCTCGCCCTACACACCACAGGAACGGCTGAGATCAGCTGAGGCTGCATTGGCTTGTGACCCTGGATGCACGTTTGGGGACTGGAGTGAGGCCATTTTGAATAAAGTCTCCCAGATGTGAAACTTTTTAGCTAAGGATATAAATCCTCATGCTTCAGGGCACGAGCCAGCCTAACTAAAAGGGTCAGGAGGGAACTTTCTATGGGGACAGGTTATCCCCTCACTGCCTCCTGCAGGATTTCTTACACCTTCCTTTGAAGCATCTGGTGCTACCCATTGTCAGAGAGAAGACACTGGGCTAGATGGACCTCAGGTCTGATCCTGTCTGGCAATTCCTACGTTCTTGTGAATCTCACTCCTTTTGGAGGTCTGGCCACCTCTGGAGTTACAGCCTAGCCCAGTTTACAGCAGTTAGCGCCCTGACAGGCCCTTTACAAACAGCCCACAGAGTTACTCCTGGTTTACCCTGCTCCAAGGCCCTAATCCTGCAAATGTTTAACCACATGCAGAATTTTACTCAGGTGACTTAACTGAAGCGCGCTGGGTGACTCCCATTCTTAAAGCCAAGCACACGTGTACAGGATCGGGCCCTAAGCAAGAGGAGAATCGGGCCCATTTTAAATTTTCAACCTCCCGAGTGGATGTAC